GAGTGGCTAATATTACATGAATGCATGTTGTTTCAGGCTATTGTGGTGGATGGCTCAGGCCACCTCCTCGGCCGCCTCGGCGCGGTGGTGGCCAAGGCTCTCCTCAATGGAGACAAGGTTGTGGTCCTGAAATGTGAAGAAATCAACATCTCTGGATCATTCTTCAGGTATGGTATTAAATATAAGATAAGTTCATGGGCAGGTTCCTAACATTTGACTCTTGGCAATTTAAATTTTGCAAAGTTGTTGGGGTAATCAGTTGTCTTCCAGTGAGGACTGAGGTAGGTGCCCAAGGTTTCATGCTGGAAGTATGTTTTGGTTTATGATAATGTGAAGACTGCCAGAATGGTTGTTATACAGCTATGTGCAAGTATCTACTACCTAGTCTATACAGGCCGGGTTTCTAGTGGCAAACAATTTTTTTTTTTTTTTTTTGCTTTGAAGACTGCTTGGTTCATGTGAATTGATTGTCTTTGGGAGTACTTGGATCATCATCATTGAATTCACCATTTGTTTCCTGAAAACTTTTATTTTGAAGGTTGCAAGCATGAAGGGTTTTGAGCAAGGAAATGCTAGTTATAGTCTGTTCCATATCAAGCTTGCAGTTGGAGTTTCTTCGGCAGATCGCTCCTCCGCTCCTTCGGCTGCAAACTTGAAACGGAACAGAGTATAGTAATGTTATTTGATATTTATTGAGCATGAATTTCTTTATTGGGCTTTTAAAAGAAATGTTTGGTAATAATACCGGAGATATTCAGATAATTAACAAATTTATGTTTTTCCTTCTTGATAGATCAACATGTAGGCTTTGTTGCTTAGTTAACTTAGAGTAGCAGAGCAGGATTAACAACTGTTGCATTCCTAGCTGTTGCATCCAATAATTAATAACCCTGGTTAAAAAGTCTTGATTTGAGTCATTGAACTACATATGCTTTGTTGAGCTATGTTACCTTTAGGCTGTCCTGGGCCCTGTTTCACCGGTGATAGCAGAACGCTGCTTTTACACGTGTCAAATTGGGTTTCCATGGAAACATCAACAGGCCCATTGCTCCAACACTATCGCAAGTGTGACGTCAGCTCGCGCAATTTGAAAGCAGCGTGGTAGCAGCGTCCCGTGAAACACCGCCCTGGAGCAACAAAATCAAAATAGTTAAATCATGCGTCATGTGTTTCAGGAACAAGATGAAGTACATGGAGTACCTCAGGAAGCGGTGCAACGTGAACCCGGCCCGTGGTCCCTTCCACTTCCGTGCGCCCAGCATGATGCTGCGTCGCGTCATCAGAGGTGAGTTGACCTCGCCTAACATTTTGCAAGATTTTCCTGCGTTCGTAAGAGCCGTTTTTCACGTGGAATTTTCACGCCTCACGAATTCCTCGGCTGGAAATTCCACTGGAAAAACGGCTCATATGAACGCAGGCTTAGTCTCCTTTTTCTTCAGATTGTTGTCGGAAGAAGCTCTTAGGGGTGAAGGTGGTTGGTCCTGACTAAAGTAAAAGCCTGGTGGGGTGGTTGTCTATGTACCACTTACGGAATGTTTTATTCAGGATTGTATGCATACTCTCACACCTCTGGTCTTGGCTTGCTGGAGACACACTCAGCCATGTAACTAGTGTTTTGACCTTGTATTTTGTTTTCACCAGGTCATGAATCATGACTCATGATAGCATGAAGTTCTATGCAGATACTAGATAGTCACTTGAAAACTTGTATTATTGCCAGTGATAGACAATGCATTGTTGAGGATTGTCCTGAGGACTGTTCACGGGCACCGCACACTGCTGTGTGCGGTGTGTGCAGCAGGCGTGGGTGTAGGGGATGGGAAGCCGGTATGTCACACGGCTGCGTGCGGTGGACCGCACACAGCTAACGCTGTGGCCAGTCCCGACCGGCCACAGCGGTTTGTGTGTGCGGTGACGGAAGGCTGACGTAGGGACGCGATGGGCGGAGCTTGGAGCCTGTGTACGGTCCTACCGCACACAGGACCCGTTAACAGTCCTCTGAATAAAATACCATCAACGTTATTAATTGTGCTTTTGGATGTGTGATTCACTACTCCACTGGTTTGTGGTTCGTGTAGTGTGCACATTATGTCGACATTCACTGCTGCTCATAGATTACTGTGCTCAGCTGTGCTTTTTAAAATATGTGCTATACAAACACTTCCCATTGCAACTCATCCTCTCAAGCTGTCCCGAGGATGATACTACGGGAAGTTACAATCGATGGTCTGTTTTTATCACTGTTCGGTGTGACAACGGCCTGTTCTATATCGCCGTTATTTCTCCTCGTTGTTGTTCAAATCATACTACCAGTATGCACTCGTTACTTTGCGCTAACAGATGACATAAACAAATAATCGCCGTCGTCCATTAACCTGCAACGTCGTGGCCAGTCATACCATTTGCTCGTCTGGTCTGACTTGGGTACGTTTGACCGCAGGGATGCTGCCGCACAAGACCCGCCGCGGCGGCACTGCCATGCTCAACCTGCGCTGCGTGGAGGGCGTGCCCCGCGAGTACCAGAAGCTGCGCCGCATGGTCGTGCCGTCTGCCATGCGCAAGATGCGCCTCCGCCCCGGACGCCCGGTACGGTCCCCCATTCCGCTCATTTGGGTAGCTTTTCGTAGATCTGCACATTATGTCGACATTCACGGCTGCTCATGGACTATTGTGTTCAGCTGTGCTTTTTTTAAACATGTGCTATATGAAGACTTCCCATTGCAACTCATCCTCTCAAGCTGTCCCGAGGATGATACTACGGGAAGTTACAGACCACGACATGTGTCGCCAATTTATGATCCATTTAAGTGTTGTGCTACGTTCAAGTTTTTCGTGTATAGATATCACACTGCCCATGAATTGATGTTTGTCAACCAACTCTCTCCGCGTATTCATGTGTCGATGGCATGGCCACAAGATGGCCGGCCCGTATAATTATTGCCCTGCCCCGTTCCATAACGCCGTCGATGTGCCGTGTCTGCAGTACTGTGAGCTGGGCCGTCTGGGACACGAGGTCGGCTGGAAGTACCAGGACGTCGTCAAGACCCTGGAGGCGCGGCGCCGTGTCCGTGACCGGCTCTACGCCAAGAAGATGGCCGGCCAGAAGGTCAGTATTGCCGACTGTCGCGAGCTAAACGGTCTGGTAGGGAGGAGGCAGTCATGTTGTATGTATTTGATTTTCACAAATAGCTGTTATCCATGACGTGTTTCGTCGGGACATGAGTAGCTTACTGACTCGTGATCTCCTTTAAATGCTGCCTCCCATCGTCTTTCTCATGCTCAAAGAATTCTGAGGTAATGTTGGGGTTTCCATCTACAATAATATTGCACATTAGCACGCAGTTCTTCAAGCAGTTCTTGTTTCACTTCTGGCATGCAGACTGAAAGCACATTAAGAGGGACATGTCCTTATTATGATTGGAAAATGACCAATCATTCTGTTTGACAGATTAAAATGCCAATGTACCTATATAAAGTGGATTTGTCTTGCTTGTTCTTTGAGTATTACGAGAACGTAATGAAGTAGCGCTTTATTTAATGACACCAGAACATATTCGGGGCACGATATTGGGGTTGAGTAATTCAGGCTTTCAAGCTCCTCACTGGTTTGGTTACTTGGTAGATGCATGTCCCCGTCACTTCGAGGCATTCGCACGATTACTAGCTTGTTTTGTAGTTGTTTGTTTTATCTGGCCCAATCTTGCACCACAGCCAACCAGCCACCAATAATTTTGCGTATAGCCTATGTATTGCTGAGATTGTCCCGAATATTTTACACCAGTAGTTAATTTTCATTGTGGTATGTTTGGGATATCCTGTCCCGAGCATGCCACTGGTTTATGGCATGCCATGCACATCTTGTCGACAATCGCAGCTGTCCATGCATTATTGCGTTCAGCTGTGCTTTTTCAAACATGTGCTAAATGAACACTTTCCATTGCAACTCATCCTCTCAAGCTGTCCCGAGGATGATACTACGGGAAGTTACAGTCATTGTCTTCTTATTAGGAGTCCCGCCGAATGGCACTGATCGGTCTATTGTTGATGCACATAAGCTGCCGCCAGCATATACTTCAGAACAGGCGTCGTATTCAGACGCCCATCATGCCTTCGTCTCTAATTATTGTTGTGTTTTCTATTTCAGGCGGTGAAGGCGCGCGCACTGAGGCAGGTCTCCAAACAGCTCGCCCCCATCGAGAAGGAGATGGCGTCCCTTGGATGCGTGGTTTAATTTGAACAATACATGCGCATCACGTCAGTCATGGTGTTTCTCATTCAGGTGGGACGTCGGACGAATCCGAGCAAATCAGCGTTCGTACATGAGGGTATGGGTACAGGAACTGTCCTGTTGGCTAACGTTATGGGCAGCAGGGGACAAAAATGAACCCATTTAATGGTCATTCGGGCGAGGACGGACGTTAGAATGGTACTACACTCACTCAACAGCCGGGCATGCCTGATGCACTGCGCTAGCGCTACCTGCCGGAGATGAGTAGCTGCTTGGCGGTGCAGCGCATATCAGGGCGCGTTATATAGTGGTGACATCTGTCGGCGGGAGCATAAACCACTGCTTTCTAGGCCGCATACCGGGAGTGGGACTTCACGTTACTATTTGACAAACACAAGATGAAGTAAAAAGCGCAGCGACGATCCGGGGGACGTGTCTGAACGAAGGGGAAATGTTCAAAAGTGGGGTTAGAGTGTGTGATGCAAATTTGCAAGATGATCCATCGAAGCGACATCTACACGTGGGTTGAGAAGCAACTGGGAAGGGTGGCCAGTCTGTTTTGCTACCCTGTACCTCGCGTAGCAAACTACATAGACGGCTAAATCGGCACCATGAGTGAGTTCATTTCCTAATTCACTATATTCACCAACGTGTCTCGTGTCTAAGTAAAGGAACCGTGATCTGCGAGATTCAGTATCGATCTACGAACATTCTAAGGGTTTACGGAATGCAGATTGCAACTTTCTAGGTTACCACTTTCGTATATACCGTATTTGTTGTGTCACTTTATTGCCTCGATCTTTCGCTAGAAGCATTGTTACACGATATGCAGGTATCCAACATCAGTTGCGTCATAGACCTTTGTATACCGGTATACAGAGGTCTAAGGTTATATTCACTGTACCGCGGCGGCAACTCGGCGCTCTAGCCAATAGAGTCACATCATTCGATGCGACCGAACACAGTCCGCGCCTTCAGACAGTCGGACACTCGGCGCCTACGTATGGCAGACGATAGAATGCCATACCCATCACTTACAAGAACAATACACAGGTGAGGCGTGACAGCTCAGAGCAGGCCGTCAGTAGCCGGAGCCACAACACTCAACATTTATCAATACATATGTACTCTGTTGCACACATGGTGTCCGTCGTCATTCCACTGTAGCACCCCTCGTATGCCATTCATTACTTCCTCCATTATAGCATATCTCGGAACTCCCGGCGCTTTTAACTCAGACAATGCTTATGTCGTAGCGTAGCCAGTAGAAGATATTTCGCACTCCTCCCCTCCTTCACATACACACGTACGATCCCAGAGAAGAGCTCTGCCACCCCCCCCCCCCCCAAACTCCTCGCGGCACATACACATCAACACACGCACGCACACACAGCTGGGATATCATTGCAGCAACCCGGCCCCAAACCGGGTTATCGAGGCCCAGCAGTCTGCCGACTACTAGTCGGTCAGTGAGATACCCATCAGCTTGGCCGACCTGTGGTGGCCCAGCCGCGTCTCGTCAAAGTAGGGACTGTTTGTGAGCGTCTTGCTGTCCAGGTAGGGTAGCTCCTGCAGCACCTCGAAGCCCTGTGTGATGAGGATCTTCTGAGCGGCGCGGTGGGTGACGCCGGCCACCACGGCCTCACAGCCCTCCTTGCGCGCGAGCTCGAACGAGCTGGTGTCGACGAGCACCTTGGCGATGCCCTGGTGGTGGTAGTCCGGGTGTACGGCCGTCATACACCGGTGGAGGACGCGCGTGGCGCCGAAATGTGAGAACACGTCCACATCGTGCTGCCGACAGGGAGAAATAACAGTGTCAGTGATGGATGATACACAACCCCAGCTGGTCAGTGGTCAAGCGATGCAAACATGTACGGAGGTTATAAACAGCAGGGTAGAATTGGTTTCGTTTTTGTGCACCGGCCGCCGTCTGGTTTTAGCCGGGTAGTTGATTGTGTCGGTATACTGCAATAGCCTTGTACCGACCAGCGCGTCTGGAGTCTGTGTATCGTCCGCTCAGGTTCTGTTTGTGCATACGTACTTACGGCACTATATACACTGTGCTTACGACCTCTGTGTGAACAGTCGAGCACAGTGGTCCGCCTCTGCTGATGGCTGACGGGTCTGTTTGTGTATATGTGGCGGGTGGTAGACCACAGACCGGCAGCCCTGTCACCGGGGACCAGAACCACCGCCCAGCCATCCGGGACCAGACCTGCAGGCGGGCCTACCGCTGCGGACCAGGGACCAATCAGCGCCCTCGCCTGCAGACCAGACCAGAGCCAGACCGGCCGGCACCCCGAGACCTGCTGCCCGGACCAGACCCACCGGCAGCGCTGGCCGTCCTTCCGTCACGGGGCCCACTTTCCGGCGCCGCGGGCAGGACAAGCCCCCTCCGCTCCCAGACCACGCCAGTCGCATGGAATGACTGCCAGCCCGCATGGAATGACGGTGTGTCGCGCCGCGCGCCACGCTCGGCTGAAGGTCAAACAGTGTTTATAGTGGCCTAGAAAACGCCGGCGCCACGCCGTACCAACTAGGCGTAAACCCAAACGGCGCTGCCGGATGGCGGCGAGTGGCCTTTTCGGAGGTTTGTGCCACATAGTAAGGCCACTGCCGAGCTCTACAGTCTACAGTCTACACTCATGCTGTCCTCAGTCGCCTTTTAGCTCTTATAAACATTGAAAATGTTTGTTGTCTCCTGTTTATGTATATGGAAAATATTATCATTTTGCAATGCTTTGTTGTTTCGCAATACCATCACCGTGTGGCATGGGAAGTGGACAGGCAGATCTAATATTTGGGCTGGCATACGGCGTCTGATTAATCCGCTGACCTGTGACGTCCATTCCATATCCATTACACTTCTATTTGGGGCTTGGGAGCTGGACTTCATCCTTATTTACCCAGCGCTTATCAACTACGCAGCAGCTTGACACTGTTCAGCATTGCCCGTCCATGGAGATCGTTTATACGAACCATGGACACACCCACATTCCTACCGGACTCCCAACCAGCCGCATCCACCGCCACTAAACAAAAACCCGCTGGAACTTCTCATACTCCCACCATACAAAATAACAGACCCACTGGCCAAACCCTCACTCCCAACAGACATACCGAGTAGTAAAGTAATCTTGAGACATTGAGACATACCCACCGGGCTTGCCTAATCCCTACCCTCCCACCATGCCGATTGCGCGCCGGCCTACCCCACCCTCTCCACTAGGGTGGGTCGATAATCTAGAATCGATGGGAGACAGCAATATTTTATGGCGCTGATTCATCATATGATGAGCGATAACAAAATATTTGCCCTAAACCCAATAATTGGTACGCTAGATAAGATTTTCTGTAATCATGAATGCCACCCAAGGCGATAGTGGCGCCACCTATCCAGACAGGCCAGATCAGGGTTAGATTTTAAAAACCAATACAGGAGGGAAGTCAAATCACGTAACAAATGCAGACATCAAACATGCAAGTATTTCAGCTTGCCCATCGAGCGGCGGCGCTATTGCAGCCGCCCCCTCCGTCTCGCTCTTCCCAGCCGTCGAACCAGATATTCGACACCGCGCCTGGGTTCGACCAGCCAGCGCCCGATGGACGGGCCCCGCCACTGGTGCTCCCCCCGCCTATGTTTAACCAACAGTGGCGGGACTTTCTGGTAGCCCAACAACTCATCAACGACAACTACCAGACCAGGAACCGGCAGGAGAGTCGGGTACTTCTGCCAGCTACAGTTCAGGTTCCCGCCGACATCCAAGACTTTCAGTTTCTCCCAGACAGGCTGAAGATATTTGTCACCGTCGGCCGCGGCGGCTGGGCGGCCGCCCTTACGGCTCTCCCGGATCTAGAGCTGCAGCAGCTGGGAGTCCAGCTGCTGCCGCCCGCCCCTGTGCTGCACCTGCCGCCTGCTCCGGCCCCTTCGGTACAGTATGCCGGGAGTGTGGTCCCCGGCCCTCCTGTCAGTCGCTGCCGCTGTCGTACGAGGCAGGCAGCGGCCGCCGCGGGCGGTACGCATTAACAGCATCATGGCGGCCTGGCACGCGACGGTGCGGGGTGTAGCTACGGTCCCTCCGATCCTCCCCCGCCCCGACGGAGCTCGCGTGCCGGGCCCCGCAGGGGCCCTTCCGGCTTGGCAGCCGGAAGCAGGGCCCCTCCTCCAGAGGCTCGTCCCTCGTCAACAACAGCCAGCGGATTCTCCGCTTCAGCTCCAAGAGCGACCGCACCTGGCTGACGTCCCAGCAGATGAGGCACCACCTGCACCTAAGAACGAGTCTCTGAGACCCAGCAGTGATTCGCCTTCGCTAGCAGGTTCTCTCATTGGTGCCGAGTCGCAGCAGACCATCGATGAGATTGAGTCGCTGCCTGACCTGCACCAGCTGCTGACTCCCTCGCCACGGCCGCTGCCTCTGTCGCCCTCATGCCTGCCCGAACTGCCCGACCTGGACAGTATTCCGGGCAGGAGTTCGAGTGCCAACTGGCCGGAGGCCTCTACAGAACCGTCCGAAACCGACTCTGACGACGAGTACCAGGGTCCGCCGACAATGGATGTAACACAGCAGCTGCAGCCCTCACCTCCTCGGCCGCGCCGCTTCATAGATCACTTTCATCGGCTCACGGACGCAGATATTAGGGAAATGGCTACGACGCGCAGGCCAAGCAAGCTCTGTCTCTCCAGGATCAACAGGCAGAACATCAGTAGCTACCTCCTCCGGCGGTCGCCTCTGGCCCCCTCAGACCAGGAGGGGGACCATGAGCTTAGAACAGGACGACCGTGACGGAGAAGATGCCGAATAATAGGAAGAATCCCTCTCTAACCTTCGCCCTGGCAAGGTTAGAGATGTCAAATAGTTGATACAACCCCCCCCCCCTAAGGTTTTTTAGAGATAGCGTAAAAACGGCCGCCAAATTTGGCACAGCCTATGGGACAACCTTTTTACATATGACCTGAAAATTTCAGGTCCGTATGACTTTGGGTCAGGTCACCAGGTCGAAAAACCGGTACAAGGTCATGGTCAAATTTCAAGTTTCTTTATGCACCTGTCCAACTCACAGTTTTGGACTGATTTCCTTCAAACTTTCAGGATGTGGTAAGTTCACCGAGTTGTATATAACATACAGTTCGTTTTTTATGTCAATGACCTGAGGTCAGTTAAAGGTCATTACGCCGTAATGTTAACCCTATGGGAAAATATTCAAATTGGAAAATGCTGGAGATATCCGTTTCGTTCTATCACTTTTGTGCTTTGAAACCACAGTACTTAACATTATGTCACTTTGTGCTTCTTTGTTTGGTGTGCTTATCCAAGGGTGGTCAACTGAGGTCAAATGACTTTTGTGCCAATAACTTGTCACATTATAAACATAAAGCTTTCAAAATGGTATCATTATGTTCCTCTTGAACAGCCGAGTCGAATGATATGCAACATTAAGCATTTCGACCGTTCTTAGAAATTAAGTTGTACTTAAGATGTGCTTAACTGTTTAAGTACACTTAAGCAAGCAAAAAAGTACATCATTCGACGCGCCTTGGCGTGCTGAGTTCACTGGTGCTTTTGTTTTTGCTCTATCTTAATTAGATCAAAAGTTATAAGCGAAAAACTGTTGGCCTGTTTCAGCGAAATTTTTACATCAGAAAAATCACTCTAGCGTACCAAATAAGACGTATTCAGGACTTACATGGGGAGCAATCGATGCTAGTGGACCACGGGACACAAAAAAGTGCTGTCTCCCCAAAATCCGAGAGATTGACCCCATCTTGACCCACCCTACTCTCCACACCTCCCCGTACTCACGCCGAGCTCCTCTGTAAAGCCGAACACCAGCCGGGCGTACTCGGTGTTGGCGTGTCGGGGCCAGCTCCACGTGTCGCGGTCCTCAGCCGTGATCACGTTATTCAGCGTGGCACCCACCAGCTTGTCACGGTCGGCGTCCACGGCTAGCAGCATCACCTCGTGCGTCCACCCGGAGATGCACGGCCGCAGCCAGTTGAGGACGTCCTCGCGGGAGGAGCCCGGAGCGCTGGAGACGCTCATCGCCTGCAGGGAGAGCGATGGTTACAAGGAGCGAATGAACGGATGAAAGACAGCATCCTAATCAGAAGCTTTAGACATAGCTAAATGCAGGGTCGTATATGTAAGAACCCTGAGTAGAAGGAGCCGGCACGCAAGAAGCCGGCACGAGCCAATGACTTCAGCAGCTTCACTATGGAACTGGGATCGAAGCGGTAGCTGTAGACCTCGAAAATCAAGTGGCCCCGACTCTTGAAGCAGCCAAGCACGTTACAATTACGCCCTCAGTGGGTTACGAACACGCCCTTGCGTATGAGAGGCGCGCAGGTTACGTAAAAGGTAAGCCTCGACATTCTTGTTTCAGATCTGGCGAGGGACAGACGTGCAAGAATATTCGCCTCGTGCCACGTGGCAGTGGAAGACATTTTGTTTTTTGTACTTTCCACTTGGTTATTTTCCGAGTATCCTTTGATATTACTGATTTGGTGTCAAGCTTTTATCGCTTTCGTAGAGGAGGTTATGCTCCAGGATGGGGCCTGGGCCGGATTTACGGCCCGGAAAACGAGTGAGGTCTGATGAGACGTTCTTTGACAGAGATGAGACTAGTCAGGGCTCGTACTTGAGGATAAGCCTAGTGTCTGACAAAACCCTTAAATCTCGAGGCTGGCCATGGGTGCAGATGGGGATCCGTGGAGTCCTGGGAAACAGTGACAAACTGGAGAAAGCAAACTTTCTGAGCGATGGTTCCCTTCTGGTCAAAACAAAGAATGAGACCCAAACAGACAAACTTCTGAAAACTCAACAACTTGCTGGTGAGACTTGTGAGGTAGTAAAGGACAGGAGACTCAACTCTTCCCGAGGCACAATCCGTGCCTATGACCTGGAGGACCTGAGCGAGGACGAGATTGTCGGCTGGTTGAGTGACCATGGTGTCACTGGTGCCAAGAGATTCACTCGTAAGGTCAATGGTAAAGTAGTACCTACAGCGACTGTACTCCTGACTTTTGATAAGCCGACGTGCCCCTCTAAAATGAAACTGGATTATGTGACATACCACATTACCAGACATGTGCCTAACCCTCTCCAGTGCTATCAGTGTGGCCTTTTTGGCCACACAGCTGAGAGATGCACAAAAAACAAAGTGTGCCTGAGATGTGGACTGGTACCCCATGAGGGTGGCTGTGCTCCCCACTGTGTTAACTGCGGGAAGGAACACTCCTGCCAGGATCATGTGTGTGATCGGTGGATGAAGGAGAAAGAGATCTGTCGGATCAAGGTGGAGGAGGAGATCTCTTTCTCTGCTGCACGAAAACTCTATGATGACAGGCATGAGCCTCCCCCAATTCTTCGGTCATATGCCAACACAGTCCGTACCCCCAGTGCTGCCAATGATGATGAGCTAAAGGAAAAAGTGACAAAGTTAGAGTCAAAGATGAGTGAAATGGTGGCACTGCTGGAAAGACTGCTGACGCAACGTTCAACCAGTAGTACCTGCCAGATCAGTGGTAGTGACGGCTCTACTCTGGGTGGACGGCTAAGTGGAAAAGATGGTGATGGTCAGGAGTCGCAAAACACAATGGAGACCCTCAGTATTCACAACAGACAAAGTGACGAGGATGACATGGACGATTTGACTCAGGCCCTGGACGCTTCTCTCCCTTCTGAGGTTGAGGGAAACAAAAGAAAACCCACTCAGCCCCGCAACAGTGCTCCATCCCATGGTTCCACAGCCCCGCAAGGGAGCAGTGGCACTGGAGACGATGCTGGGCCATTTAAGCCCGCAAAGAAAGACAAAAGCAACAAAGGAGGAAACAAAAACAAACAAAAACAGCTCATGCTTTCAGATGAGATCTCCCCATCACCCCCTATACTCAGGCCTACCAAACCCAATGATAGGACAGGAGTGAGCAGAGACAGATCCACATCTCTGCCACGGAAGTCGTGGACGGATCCGCCCAAGTCTACACAGGGAACGTAGACAGCACACCTGTATGTGATCATACCCTAATTTAAAAAAAAAACAAAAAAAAAACAAAAAACAAAAAACAAAAAAAACAACAACAACAAAAAACAAAACAAAAAAGAAACTAACAAGGTACTAACAATGGCATGGAATGTTATGCAATGGAATTGTCGAGGCTTAATTTCTAAATGGGCTGAAGTTAAACCTCTTCTTATTGAGAAAGCGTGTGAAGTGATTTGTCTTCAAGAGACTCATTTCCTCTCCACAGATGAATATGATTTTTGTATTCCCAACTATACACTGTATAACGGATACTCACCTTCCAACAGTCGTTGTGGTGGTGTATGTATCTATGTTGGCAATTCTTTTCCACATTATGAGGTCCCTTTAACTACAGCACTGCAAGCTATTGCGTGTTGTGTGAAAGTGGGTCGCCAACGTATATGTGTTTGTTCCTTGTACTTACCTCCTAACCCACAGGTTACAACTACTGAGATTGACAATCTCGTAGGGCAATTACCCGAGCCTTTTATTATTTGCACTGATGCAAATGCGAGACATTATATGTGGGGATCGGATCGCTGTGATGCCAGAGGGAATTCAATTGAAAGTATCATAAGGAACAATGCTCTGACCCTCCTGAATGATGGCTGTCCCACACGCATGGACGAGTACACAGGACTCTGGTCACACATTGATATTACTATCACCAGCAGTGAAATAGGACAATATATGGAGTGGAGGACTGATTCAGATCTCCATGCCAGTGACCATTGTCCCATATATGCTTCTTATGATGTACAATTACAATCTGCGTTTATTGAGCCTGAGCGGGACATATTTGCAGGATGGAACTTAAATAAGGCCAAGTGGTGTGAATTTACTGACCAGTGTAATTTTGACAGCATTGATGTGACTGACATGAATGCGAGCTATCAAACTATGGTGGAGAAACTTCTGTCGACTGCACGTGAAACTATTCCACAGAAAACAGGTCCTCCCAAATATAGCTGTCCATGGTGGAATGAGGATTGTAAGGAAGCAATCCGTGCTAGAAAAACGGCATTGAACCGTTTTCGACGTAATCGAACCACTGCACTTCTAATGGCATACAAGGAGGCCAAGGCTAGGGCCAGGAGAATTATTCGCCAAGCGAAAAAGGAGTCGTGGGAGAAACTTTTACACCTGTTCAATGTGAACACACCACTGCAACAACTATGGGGAATAATAAGGAAATTTACTCGCAAAGAAAGATACAGGAAATCGTTAACCGTGCTCAAGGTTGGAGACGAGGTGATTGATGACCAGCTGGAAGTCGGAAATGTTTTAGGACAATTTTATTCTGATCTATCATCTTCCCTACACTACAGACCAAGGTTTATCGAGCACGAGAGGGAGATGAGCGCTCATCTTCCCTCTTTCGTGTCTCAGAACGAAGAAGTATACAATGATTTATTCTCACTGCCTGAGTTAAAAGAAGCGATCTTTAAGAGTGGAAATACCTCAATGGGACCTGATAACCTCCATTATGCGTTTTTTAAACATCTCTCCCAGGAACAATTGGTACATGTGCTGAACATGATAAACTGCATATGGTGTGCTGAGGAAATACCGCAACAGTGGAAACACTCTATTATAATACCAATTCTTAAACCGGGCAAGCCAAAAGACGAGCCTGCATCCTACCGACCCATACAGCTTACCTCCTGTTTTAGCAAGATCATGGAACGGATGGTGACAAAGAGACTTACCTGGTATGTTGAACAGAACAGTATCTTATCTGAATTCCAGTGTGCGTTCCGGAAGGGAAGGAATACAGCTGACCATTTAACTCGATTGGAATCCGAGGTGCGGAAAGGATTCTTTTATCACCAGTATACATTGGCGGTGTTTCTAGATTTACAAAGTGCATATAACCTTACATCAAAAGTGGCCATCCTCCATCGTATGCATACCATTGGACTCCGCGGAAGGCTTATGCACTTTGTTAAATCTTACCTTGAGGAACGAACGTTCCAAGTTAAAAATGGCGTGCTCTCAAACACTTTCACTCAGGAGAATGGACTCGTACAGGGAGGCGTGATCTCCCCGCTCTTGTTCAACCTGATGATTAATGATATTTTTGCCAATATTCCTGAACATGTCTCATATGCCCTATACGCGGACGATTGCTCCATGTGGGTACGAGGTCGGCGGATTTTGCCTCTAATTGAAAAAATGCAGACAGCTCTGAACAGTGTCACCGAATGGACCGATCGTTGGGGGTTTGTCTTCTCCCCGAATAAGTGCAATGCCGTCATATTTAGGCGCTATATGAAAGAACAAGAACTGACTTATTTGCCATCACTGAAGGTTTATGACCAGCCACTCCCATACTGTGATGATGTGAAGTTTCTGGGTGTTATTTTTGACTCCAGAGGCCTGGTCGGAATCGGCTGCTGTGCTGTTGTCAGCTGAGATCCAAGCCCCTGATTGGTTGAGATATTGATGACGTATCACGCCTTCCCGCGCTGTGACGTCATACCTCTGCTGACAGCCGGCTTTTCGGCTGCTGGGAGAAGGCAGCAGCACGTCAGCCGAAATTCAAAGTGGATCGAAAGTGGCGCATGTAAGTCAAAGCGCAGCTTTATAGTGCAGGTGGTTAGTTTTTATATACGATGTTTTTGACGTATTTTGTATTGAATATTTTTCGCGAAAGATAGCAATTATTTCTTTTTCATGGCGCAATGTGCGAGTCAGCCTGAAAACAGTACCTACAAATCGAAATGCCAGCACCGCCTCAATTATCAATCCTGTAATTTTTTCTATAGCCTCGGCAAATAAACCTCAGAAATATAATGTAACGACTAACGGAAGATAGTCGTTGAAAAAAGCGCGAAAATGCTACCTCTCCTCAAGTCTCAACTCTCAACTCTATCTGTCGAGCGCCATCTTAGCATCTCAGCGCCATCTGGGCTGACGTTTCCTGTCAGCCGATTATGAACAAGCCCATCAGCAGCGTGGTGTGGGCGGGGCTTATTCTCGGCTGACAAAAACCCGGTTTACATAGCATATTTGACGAGGC